AAAAAAAAAAAAAAAAAAAAAAAAAAAAAAAAAAAAACGAAAAGAACTAATTTTTCATATTTCATAATACTGGATGGGCGCGGTCGAGTTTTTGTATTTTTACAACAAGAATGGATAGTGGAAATTTATATGGCGAATGTGTGTTGTACTCTATGAATAACAAGCAAAGAACACGAAAAACAAAGGCATTCACAGTTTCACACCTAGACAAAGACATTTGCTCTATGAAAAGTTTAGGTATAAGCGATATTTTCATTTTTGAGAATGAAAGAAAGAAACTTCACCACAGAGACTACACAGTTGCGCTGATAGACACATGGACGCAAGGACTAGGAACGTACATATTTCCGAATTCGAAATTGGCCAAGAATTTGCCAATATACTCTATATTAGGGGGTTTTGAACTTTCCTTCTTTAGGTCATGAAAGTTTTGAAATAAAATAATGAATTCATGACACACTATCTAGTTAAGTATCCCATGGAATTTTTGTAAATTTATCTGCTGCAGCTTGGACCGCAGACGTGCCCTCAGTTTACGTTATACTGTCGGCGTGTCCTTCTATCGAAAATACTCCTCATCCTTCGGTGATGGGTATTAAAAAAAAAGAAGGGAATTAGCGGAATTTTCACGGTTGATTGGGAAACTGAATTTGCAAATTTGCTTGAAAATAAAAGTAATTTAAATAAAGGTTACACAAAAAGGCAAATGGAAAAGCGCCGACCCGATGAACACTATATAGCATTATATAAGTTTTTACTCTATTGAATACTTTTTTTCATATAATGCATGCAATATACGTTAATATGTTTCGCCCTTATTTTCATTGTATATGTTAAGTTGGTTTCTCTCCCCAGATGTTCATGCAATCAAGATATTCTGTTATATAAATTTGTGTGTTTTTTTTAACAAAATGTGTTTTGAATAGCTATCATAGCGGTGATGGATATTAAAAGATTCGATCAAAACCGAACATAGCACCCATAGCTGTTTTATCTTTAAATAATGCTAATAAATTCGTGAATATTTGAAAAGAGCAAGAGCTTAACGTTTTTTTAGGATCCTCCCTGAAAGTAGGAATTTTGCATAAGATACAATTTATCGATGGGATTCGTTAGGCTGTTATTTAAATTGGCCAACATATCGTGCGGATGACTGTGATGGTGATGTTGGTTATGATGTCCTGACGAACCAGTCGATCGCAGTTCCAAATTGTTAAGTGACAATGAGTCAGTGTCATCGTCCAAATTATCAAAATTGCTACCATCTAAAGATAAGTCGGAACTACAGAAGCTGTCATTGGAATTGGCAGGATAATCTATATATATAGAAATGTATGCGTTGAAAATAAAAATTCGATTTTTTAATCAATTTACTCATTTTCTTACCGTCTGGAGAGAAAGGTATATTTGGATTTAAAGGTTGACTGACGTAATTGCTACCATCTAAGCTCAAGTACAGATTTTCATTTAGACCTGTGCAACCAATTTCTTGCTTAATTTCATCTTTATCTAGTTTTTCCTTGTCCTTGTCTTCCGTTCGTTGACTATTGTTATTACCGCCGCCACCGTTGTTGTTATTATTCTTGGTTTTACGTTGAATTTTTTTCATTTTCGCGCGTTGATTTTGAAACCATACCTGCACCACTCGTACGGATAGACCGGTATCTTTGGCCAACGCCTCGCGTACTTTGCGACAAGGCTTCGGTGACTGTTCAAATGAAGCTTTGAATTGCTTTCTTTGCTGTGAAGTTAGTATAGTTCGCGGCCGTTTTGGCCCTCGCCGACCGTCGCGTGGCCTCAACATATCGTCATCGTCTAAGCCTAGATAACCGCAGTTGTGAGCAGCAAAAAACAATTCTTTCTCCAAGTCATGACGAAAACAAAGAATCTGACCATCACGTAGCAAAAATTGTTCGCCTTTCTGCAGCGGCAAACGACAGGCGAAACAAACAAAACAAGATAAATGAAATATTAAAGTAGGTAACGGCCGCATAACCATATCGTGCGCTAAGATAGGATGACAGCAGGCAGCGCACTTAAAGCCAAAAAGTCTGAAAAATAAATTAAGAACATCTACTTAACTTAGATATAAACTTAAATTTAAAGGAAATTAGGGTCAATTATACAAACAAGCCCACTTAAAAAGTTTATTCAAGAGATAGTAGCAATGATTTGTCAAAAAAAAAAAAAAATGTTAAAAAATGAATAAATAAATGATTAAAGGAAAAAAGCAACGTCTGCGTCCTATGATCGCCTAAAAACCGTCGATACAGGATTCCTCATTGCGAACCTTTTATAAAGAAAGCCAAACAAAAACTATATAGGTTGAGAAGCATTAATACTTGAAAATGTTTGCCTCAACAATATAAAAGAGTGTAGGCGTCTTAGTCGATCGTTTGGATTAAGTGTCCTTAATGTTGTGTTATTATTAAATGTTTTGAACTATCTTTGCTTGAGAGTTTGAGAGCTAAGATCTATTTAACCCTATTTAAGGTTGAGTAAGAGATTCAAATAATTTTAGATTTTAATAAACTTAGGAAAGATGGGATCTAGACTCATATATAGCCTGATCTCAACATAAATAGATAACTCGGTTCCGTAATTGTTAGCAAAAACAAGCGTACTCAACATTCTCTGATTATAAAATTAAAATCTAATAAAGTAATTTTCAAAACAAAATTTTTTAAATATCTTTTTATTACAATTATTATTTTCATGCTACAATTTCACTTACCTGTCATAATCCATTTTACAGTACAATTTTGAGTTGCGCACGTAACACGTTTGCCGCAATTGCATACCGCAATAGCAACAGGCCAAGCAACTTTCATGCCAATTTGTATGGCCAACATTCATTAAATATCGATCGTGAATTTTCTGACCGCAACCTTCGCAGACTTCAAAATTCTTTTCACATTTAATTTGATCGACTTCTGAAAAATCACAAAACATAAATACGAATATAAGAAATGATTGAAGAATCGTATTCTTAGTTACTTTTCAATATTTTTGTTGTTCGGCAAGATATTGCTTCCCCATAACACGAAACACAATGCGGCCCGTTTGACTTTGCTATTTATTTAAACGAGTCTCGTATACGATTGCGTAATAATAATAATCTCTATGCTAATGCTCTTTAATATAATTATTTTCGTAAAGCCTTAGTACGAAACGGACACATGCTAATACGGTTCCCAGTTTCGGAATAAGAAAAGGTAGCAAAATCTCATAAGTTGTCCAAATCCATATAGTTGTCCTCATTTTAAAATGTGAGATACTTTTGTTAAAACATTTGGAGTGGGCGCGGCTGATTTTTTCTATTTTCAAAATAAAAATTTTAATCGCTTCGCTGTGTGTCTCCTTGCAAAAAGTTCAAGTCAATCCTAAATTCTTTTGCAAATTTGTAGGCGATATCTTCATTCTCAGTAACGGGAGAATGAGAATGTTTACCACCAATACTATACAATTACGCAGAGAGAGAGAGAGAGAGACAGATGGACGGACGAACACATGGACATGAATATATATACACATCACGGCTAAGATCCATTTCATATATTTTTTATATCTATCGTCTAATAATCGCAATTTGAAAATGGACTATGGAAGTTTTACATAAACTTATAATAAGCGTTAAATTTGGAACCTGTAAGTAATAGTTTGCCCATAGAATATGAAAAGCCAACGTAATTTCCTCGCATCTGGACTAAAATGGCTGGATTGGTATGACACCGTTTGAAAGCATAAAATTTCGAATTTATTGGCTCATTCGGTTCGTGTTCGTATTCGTGCGATAACATAAGAGATAACATGGGATTCGAATCAAACTAAACATCATTTTTCGTCTTCTTCTTCTATTAATAATTTGTATTGAACTTATTTTTCTTACTTCATCAATTACTAGCACCTTACAGCTTGAAGACATTTATAAATAAAGTGGGATGTTAGTTGAGGAGGAGCTGCTACCGATAGCAACATAACGGTTTAAGAAAACAATTGAAAACGCATGAATCAAATGTGTGTATATATGTATGGATACATATATAAAATTTGTATCAGTGCGCGCATATTGTAAATTTCTTTGGTAAAAACAAGTTTAAAAAATTTAATGACAAAAAAAGATTACAAGCATTATTGCATAAACAATCCAGGAGTACGCTCGCCGGTTTAGTGCTAGCTTCCATTGCTGCATCATAGGCAAGAACTAAGTGATTGTAAGAATTTCTTACAGTGAGTTTTACTGCTTAAATTTAGCAAAACTTATTTTCTTCTCAAAGATCTTATTATTATTATTGGGCGTAAGCTATTAAAAATGAGATGTTGTTGCTATACAAAGGCTTTCTTTTCATAAGTATCTTATATGAGAAGGGGTTTCTGAAAATATACCTACAGTATGCTATTTGTATTTAAAAAAGTCGTTTTACGGGAAGCAAATCAAAGCATTTTTAATAAATTCCTCTCAAAACACATTAGTACACTATACCAAGTTTTGTTAAATGATAAAAGATATATAATTTGCGAATTGTGCATAAGTGCAGACGGACAGAGTTTAGAAAACGATTTCGAATCGATTTCGATCGATTGAGTAAATGGTATGCCTAAACTCTTCTGAATGCCACCTAGATCCGGGCTTAGGCTTAATATACTCTCTACCAGAAACGGTGCAGAATATAGAAGAGAAGACTCGTTTATGGGAATGCAAAATGTGGTCTCTTAAAAAATTATCGCAAATTCAATGAAAGCGTTTATGCATAGACATATATTGTACCTTCATCCATTTGTGTTATTATACACTTACAGTAATTCCTGCTTTAGTATTGAACGCATTTACAGTTTTGTGAACATTAAATATATCTCATAAGGGCAAACAGGAACTGAAGTGGCTCTAACCGAATTATTAATATGCTTCGCCTAAACTAAAAAATGCGTTCGTGAAAACAATTTGGTCGTGTTCGTCTTAATAATTATATGCCAAGAGATTTATACAGAGCGATCGTGAAATTTTGATTATTTTACATTTGGTCTACCTTTATAGTCAATTCGAAACTATATTACTCCGGTTGCCAAGGGATCCAAGAAATGATAAGATATAAACAAAAAAATATGTATTTTCGATTAAAAGCAAAAGATTCCGAGTTGATTCTGTTGAGTATGTACACCAAATTTTGTATTTTAAAATATATGTAATTCGTTTGCCTTACTTACACGACACTTACAATGTCGAAATAATTGAAAAATAAACTTTGCGTTAAAATTCCAGTTAGCTATAATATTAAAAAGCTCGTATACTTAATTTATTCCCATTAAGCAATCGCTTAATATGCTCAAGTACAGACAGACCGATCTATGTTTGCGATATTTTTAGGGGATTAAAGTTACGCGCTTCAGGCGATTTTCATGACGAAAAATACACAATTGCTTTAAAACTGACTTTTTTTTTTTTTTTTTGCTTTGCGAATACCAAAACCCCTACGAATATGTCAGTCCATAGTCCATCCATCGAGCTCTTGTGATCAATAATATCAATTAATATCTAAAGATTTGTCGATTCAAAAACTCGCCACAACTCATATAAGAAGAGCGAAATTGTGATTAAATTGACTCAAAAAAATCGTACACTGATCAAGAATAATTACAGTCCTGAATTACAGTTCTGAAGTTTAATGATTTTTTCGACGGTTGTAAAAGAATTCGCAGAAAAAATATACTGTCTCTCCTTAAGAAGGGTGTATAAAAGTTTGTTTGCGAAGAGAAAAAAAAATAGCACAAAACGCTCTGCCTCTAACTCTGGCGTTAGAGCCTTAACGATAAAATACGAGCTCAAGAGCGCGGTTGGATTTTGATTTATGTTTCTGTTTCATTTAACATTTTCGAACAAAGTAACAAGTGCCGCAATAAAAATTATGATATTCTCACATAACCAACTCCGATGTATTTTATAGAAAATGTAGGAAAAAGTAAAATGAAAATAAAAATGAAAATAAAAATGAAAATGAAAATGAAAAACTTAAAAGACCGTTTCCATATTGATGCGCATAGTAAATCATAAAATGGAATTTGAGCAGTGTTTGCGAGAGCACAAATACCAGGCGAAAGAATAAAATTCAGTAAATATAATAGAATCCTAACATAAAAGCTTTATCGTTTATTGTTCGTTTGATTGCACAATAGAACGGCGCAGACAAAGCCAATATTTTGTTGCACTTTACTTTCAAATTCAAATTTAGAAAGCAAAAAGAAAAACAACTACGTACGGCTGAAGACGAATCTTTATTATTTTAATGTTAAATTTCAAATCCGGATTCTTGTACAGACGCTAAAGATGACAAGCCCCGAATAATATATCTGGATATCATCCTACCTCAAGCACTTGCGTTCGCAAGAATAATTTTGGCAATTAATCTACTTTGCTAACTTAATGATAACCCTTGGAAAAAGTGAATATATATAGTATATGTAGAAAAGTGGGGAATTTCTTTCCAACCAAAGGTCGTCATAGATATGCGAAAGCATTCTTACAGTGTCGTCATAATGCCGAAATTGCATTAAATGCGCAACTAATGCTTTACAAATCGAACAAAGGATTTAATGTAACCCAAAAATGCACTAATCTCACTTACCTCCCTAAAAAGGCACAAATCTTGTGTAAAAATTTATAAACCTCTATGCATTTGTTATATTAAAATACAAATTATTTGTGTTTGATCCAAAAAAAAAATCACACAAGATAATATTTGCAAACTTTATTAACAACTTTTTATTCTTTATCTTTATTTATTATGAATATATATACATATGACTGAATTACTGAGTTGTGGCGAAAGTGATTGCAACAACTTATGGTAAAATAGATCGAACGGTGTAACCTTATTAAAATGACGGGTGGGCTATCCAATTAGGACAACCAAGTTACTTAAAAAATCGGTAAACGTGCTTCATGTTCATGGCCTGCCAATATTTTGTTCAATAAAGACTTTAGAGCATTTTTAAATCTTAAATCAGATCCCCATCAGATCAATCGTTATAATCAGTTAAATACTGAGCCAGCAAAGAAATTCATTGATTCCACAATTAGGACAATATTGTTTATGCCCTATAGAAAATTTTAAATATCTATCACATATAGCCCATATAGTCTCGTTCTGTGGTCAGTCGAGTAAATCTGAACATTTTTTGCAAAAAAAAAAAATTTCTATGATTATCATAAATATTTTAGAGTTAATTGCTTGCTCTGTTCTTCTTCTCTTATTAATGAATATGAAATTTTCATTTTTTTTAATAAACAATCTGACAGTCGATCGAATTACCAATTAAACGGGTGCAAGTGCGTGCAGGAAATTGGATGATCAGATAGCCGAATAGACAGATCAATGTAGTAATAATCGAGCTGAGAGTATAAATCTTACGGAATATATTTACATTTTTTCACGCTTATGATAACAGCTACGTATTACGTTCCAAAACGATCCAATCTTTACGTAAACAATGAAAAACTACACTTAAAATCCGGTCTATAATTACCCCCGTTTTGCATATAATATTTCCGTAGTTGATATTGTCTATTGATAATTCCGTATACTGTATATATATATATATCTACGAGTAGATATCATCAACAAATGAAATGTTAATTTACTTAACATTTACATACTCATCTCTTTATTAACTAACTCTAACTAACTCTTAGCTTTGGTTATTGCGGTGATAAGAATTTATTACGATAATAGGGTAATAGTGGTTAAAATAGCGCGGAATGGAACGATAAGGAAAAGGGGAAACTAAGTGATAATAGGCTCTCTTCATTGATTATATTTTACTTATTTGACCCAATTCAGGTTATCTATGCAAACATTAATTATATCAATTATTAATTACATCTATAATTAAAACAAAAGAGAGAGAGAGAGAGAGGAAGAATGCATTAGACATTGGT